CCACCTGGCAACCTCCCACGGCGTCGACGTACCAGACTTGAAGGATGTAATCACATGGGAGGAACTGACACGGCTGAGGAAGAAGCGGTTCATCGTCGACGACGCGCCAGCACTCGCCATCAATCGACTGTTCACCATGTCACAGGGCAACACAGCAACACGGGACTGGCTCACGGAGTGGCAGAAGATTGCGGCTGTGCCCAATTTGAACTTACCATTCGAGCATCTACGCCGTGAGTTCTACAACAGGTCCTGTGCKGCATTGAKYCAGGCTCTTGGTGATCGCGAGCAGTACTCAACCTTCGCGGAGATCATTGACAAAGCGAGGGAGATCATCAAGACCAACAGGTCAGCTGCACACGAGAAATCAACATCATGGCAGCCGACCTACGTGGAGAAGGTACGAACTGGTCCGCGATAGCAGCACTTCGCTGCAGTTCAGCAGGACMGTGGAGATAACCCAGCAGCCACTCCAACATCAAGTGACGGAGTTCAGGTGGTTGTTGTCCAGCCGCGAAGCACCAACAAGTCCCGCAACAATGGGAAGGCGAAATCCGCATCGCAGGCCGGAAATGGACAGCAAGGACAGTTTCCATGGGTCAAGTTTGGCTTGACCGAGGCGGAGTACAAGGTCCGCGGCCGCTACGGCAGCTGCGATTGGTGCAACAACACCAAGCACAATACCTCCCTGTGCCAAGATCAGGGCAAGGAGGATGTGCGACCCCGCCTCAGCTCGGGAAACTGAGCTCCGCGGAAGGTGAGGCGACTCCACCTTCTACTCCGCCAGATTCGGATGCCTTGCTAGCGGCCTCCTGCACATCTGGGGAGGATGCGAATGTCGCAAGTCCTCGGTACACTTACGAGGACTATGCTGTCCACTTGCTTCCACCGCTGGACCAACCGCTCCACGTGCAATAGTCCACCGCATGCACGGTTTCATCACCATCGGCAACCGATTCGGCAGCTTCGCCGCAACCTATCGCCGGGGATTCGACGTCATGGTCAAGACTTGAAGAGCTTGACCCATTGACGTTCATGGACTTCCAGTGGATGCCCGTTCCCTCGACTGGACGATTGCCGAAACCGCATTGCAASGTGCTTATGGCACAATTGCGGGACTACTTGCACACTGCAGTACCAGCTCCATTGATGGACGTCGGAGTAGAGGTTGTCGACCTTCACG